GTTGAGTTTCACACAATAATGGAACCCGAGGCAGACAGTTTGTGATTTACAGTGATTTAATCCAAACTCAGATGGAATGAGGGTAGATGTGGCGAGTCAGGCTGGTGGAGAGTTGTTGGACTGGTGTCCTGAATCTTTGCAGGTTGAATGAAGTGGTGAGGACGAGGCAGGCTGGAGGCTGGTGCACCTGAAGCACAGGGGAATATGATCAAAAATCTAAGAAAGGCAAGGCAAAAAACATTAAACAGTAAACCGAACGAACTGGCCGAGACTGGAAGGTTGAGCCGGGTATAAATACTGCAGGAGCTTGATAGTGAAGGATGGCAGGTGTGCAGCTGAAGTGCTGCAGTGTGATCGTAATCCAGGGAGATCCTTGTCGCTCCGCCCACGCACAGACAGGACACACAAGAAACACAAGGGAGGGGGAAACACAGTGGAGACACTAGAGACAAGGGACCGCGGAGTACAACAGCACCAGATCGTAAAGAAAATATCAGAGACTGCAGCAATGGCTCTGTACACAACTGATGATATGTCCCCAACACTGGAGGTTACCAACATCTACTAGTGAACCATGACATATGAAAACTACTGCTAAAATTACACAAAAATACAAGCTTGCTTATTTCTATAAAAGCATAGCAAGAAAACAATGCTTCTGAAGGTCACCGACCTCAGACCTCTTGAAGGTGATAGAATGGTCTATTCAAACAGATAAAGGACACTAAGGGCATGTCAGGAAAATGGAGCACAGCCTGGAGACAAAGCAGCCCACAAACCACAGAAGCAGTTGAAATGAGAAAATGTGGAGATACCCACGGCTAGTCAGCCTCCTTCAGGTTTGGTTTTGGAGGTTTGGAGCCCAAGATAGTGGACCATGTTTAAAAAATGCATGCACACATTTTCCAGAGGTAGATATATCCCATGGGTCAATCTTGCAAAAACATTAGGTCCTTCATTTCCAATAATGCAACAAATGCTTGGTTGATCCCCCCCCCCACTCCTCACCATGAGTCGTAACTCAGGCGTTCCAAAATCAAGGTAGCCCTGATGCCATCATTCATCATCATGACGTCGTTATTTTGTAATTCATGTCCACATTGTGCTTTTATAGAGCACATTAGCAAACTTAAAAGAAATATATCATATTTCAAAATAATTGTCACACAGTTCATGTGACATCTTTGGGGCGAATGAGCTTTTGGGAGTGTGTGTGCATCTTGTATCTTGTATGTGTGGTGTGGGATTCTAACAAGGCCTGAAACGTATGGATCCCCTGGGTTTTAATTCCAGTTTAATAAATATACTGGAGAGTAAAGAGGGAGCAGATACAACATAGAACCTTTCTGTGTGTGCACAGGTTGCATATGCATGCATCTCTCTCTATATATAGAGAGAGATGCATGCATGAATATGCAAGAACAGACAGACAGATAAAAGCAGGACAGAGTAAACACACCCTAGATTTGAAGATATGAAGTCAAAGTCTGATCCATCCTGAAAATTATAACTTGGTAACTCATTAACTCCTGTCCTACTTCCTGGAGCGATCCCAACCAATATGAATACATACAGAGAGCAGTGTATTCAGCAACACTGGCATTCATCTACAGCCAGAATTTCCCACAGCAAAAGATGTTGAATTATTATAGCGTGAGATAAATCATTCTTCTTGAATTCAACTCATTACTTTGCTCAATAGAAGAACAAGAAAAAACACCCATGTCCTTCAGATCACTTCCATTATCAGACTGTATTATAGAATTTACTTAATTTTCAGAATTGTATTCTTCAAAGGAAAAAAAATGTGTTGCTGTTTTTGAAACCGATATGACAACGTACTCTTATTGAACTGCTGACATTTTGGATGAGCATGTGGATTCGGAGTGTAATTAAAATTGGAATTGATCGTAAGGTTGGTCTGCAGGATTACACAAAAAAACTGAGCAGATTTTCACGAGGAACCCATTTGAATTTGGTGCAGATCTTGACTTACAGGAGGATCTTTTAGAGCTACACAATGTGGTAAGGGGTCCTAACCAAGTGTCCAAATGTGACAGCTTGGGAGTGACACTGCACTGCAGCATCAAGGTTTCATTTTGTGATTTCACAGTGGCAGAGTTCTTGCCGATCATGTGCAGTTTAAGATAAATTGGGGGGGTTAGGCTGGTGATTGGGGTCTCAAGAGCTCATGCAAAAAACATCACAGCCACGTTCATGTTCACGCAGACACTGCACAAGCTCTCGCATCTATGCTTTCGCCCAAGGGGCGCGAGATGAGATCAGCTATCGCAGGTTCACGCTGATCTTGTCTCGTACCCTTTAGGTGAGAGCTTGTGCGGTGCGTGCACGTAAATGTGAGTAGATGATGAGTGACTTTTCAATTTTGGGTGAACTATCCCTTTATGTTACAACTGAATCTGGTCTGGAGTCAGCTTTAGTTGACTGTTAATTTCATAATATGAAGTAAATTGCTTCACATTTTATGACTTCAGCCAAGATCCTCAAAAGCATTGTATGTACAGTGTTGTACAGTGCGTGTGTGTTTTTGTATGTCGGTGGGAGGGGCTAACCACAGCACTTGTTGCTCAGCCCTCACAGGTGGAAACAGATGACGAAGTGACTGTGGACAGGAGGGAAGGAAGAAATGTGAAGGGAAAGAATACATGAGGATAAAGGGCAACAGGACAGTGAGATGTAAGTTCACAATGTCGATTTGTGGCTGAAAAGCTGAATTCAGGAGTTTTGAAGAGGCTAAAAGTTGATTCTGAAATCTGCAGAACTCAACGTCTGCCAGAGGGAGACAACAGCTCCACATCCATTTCAATCAGGTGAGACGAGCAGTGCAGCCCTGAGGTGTTTGTACTTTACATTGTGTGTTACTCTGAAACTGTATCCAGTCTTACTATATGATTGATACAGTAACTTTTCATATTAAGATTTGACATCACAAAACATATAATCTTATTAATGCAAAGCTTTGTTGAACATTAAGCCAGTGCTTTACAACTTCTTTGGGTCGAGACCCCTTGAAGAGAACCAGTGTCAAGTTGGGGCTCTCACGTTTCAGATGTCTTCAGTAGCTGTTCCCCATCTCGTCTACTTGTGTGGTTCAAACTGTTAAAGGCTCAAAATAAAATCATTCAATATTTCACCAAAAAAGGTAGAGAAAGGAATCAAAGAAATTACATCAGAAGGTTTTCCTCTTTTCTACCATCTCACATTCCCTCACTTTTATCTTGAACCCATTGGACTTAACCAATGAACTGTATATAGAGCAATAAAAACTAGCTCCACATCAACCAAAAATGCTGCCCAAGCATGATTCCAATTTCATATAGGAAACATATTTTATTGCAGAACTACTGTCGGCCCATAGTTTCCCAAAATATATTTTGTGACGCTTCTGTAGTTTAATGTTTTGTTGTATTTGACTCTGAATGCTGAACTAAATGATCGGACACTTCTTCCCCTTCATAAATCTACATTATTCAATACTGCGCAGTTGGAACAAGATATTTACCAAGTTATAGGTAACAAAGCAAATACGGTGTGGGTCATTTTTGACCAAAGCATGAGTATTTTGCGTTCAGACATGCACCAACACCGATTAAGCTCCTGACATTCTCCAGAGGGGCTGCACGTGAGAACAGAACTATCAGAGTGAAAGGTTCTGGACTTTCTCTGGAGCATCTCCTGTAAGCTCCCTCGAAACAACTCCAGAGAACGTCTGAATAAGCCCATGTGAATCCATGTGCAAATACATTCAGATTATCTGCGTAGTTTCGATTTGCTTGGGCCTGATCCTGAACCTTGAATCTAGTCTTGTAACTTATTAGCTATGTTGCACCATTAATTTTTATCCAACCTGCCCTGTCAAGATTATAAACTGCTGTACACTAGAAACACACATGCACGGACATGTCCTGCGGAGAATTTCTGCAGGATCGGGTCTGGGCTTTCTCCTAAGTTCTTGTTTCACACAAAGCAGCAAAGGGTTCTCTACTCAGACATGTTTACAACAGCGACTAACTCTCCACAGTATTAATGTGGTGCAGCGGACAGAGGGGGAAGTCACGTATTAATGAAGTTTTTGTTTACAGCACATCTACAACCGTTTCACTTCTTATCACCACAAACTCTCCGTCACATCTTCACCAGTGTGTCCTACGTGTGTGACAGCACTTTTTCATCCTGGGATAATTCTTTTCTTTTTGTTTGTTTTGTGTCTGTCATCGATCGTCAGAGCCCCTCCAGCTGAACCAGGGAGAGTTAATTGCCACAGCCGAGTCTCGTAGGCCAATTTCTCTCCCTGGATCCAAAAGGCAGCAAGAAAAGAAGATGGAGAAAGAGAAACACACATGGAAGAGACTGAACACAGCTGAGCTGCCAAGACTTTCAATTGCTAGTTTTGAGTTTATATTGCTTGATTTGGCAGATTATAAACAAGTTGAAACCTGAGTGGTTTGTGTCTGGTGGTGTTTTGGAGACCCCGGTGGCAACATCGTCTACGACAGTGACGCCCAACGTGGGGACCAACACAGCCAGAGAAACTCACCTGCAGTTTGAGATGGCGCTGGTTCGTATGTGGCCATGTACAAGGAACAGGCAGTGGAGAGCAGACGGCAGCTGGAGACTTTTCAGAGGCAGGCGGAGAGAGGCCTGCTCCTGCTCCTGCTCCTGCTCCTGCTCCTGCCTCTCAGATGGCGGTGAAGCCGGCTGCGCCCGCTCCTGGTTCCACATCGGCTGTGTGGCCAGGAAACACAAGCACTTTACAAACACACTTGTACACACTCGCCAATCCATTAGTCTGCTCTGCTATACATTTCTCTTTCTCAGCACATGTACATATTAACTGCTGTGAGACACACACAAACTGTGCTGAGGAACACACACACAAAAAACAAAGCTATTCAGATAAAGACAGGCAGGTGAACACACACAGTGACTGTGTGTTGAAGATTTATTCCCAGCAAATATATCTGATTCTCTTTCCCTACCTAACTTTTTTCTATTTTTTTAAATTCTAACTCTTTTTATCCTTGTGCCCTGCTCTCCTCAGCCCTCTGTCTGTCCACATACATCCATCATGACGAATTCATCTTCCAGCTGGTGGCAGCTGCCCTTTCTGAGGAAACAAACATCCCAGCCCAAGGTTATGAACGTGATCCCTGAAGAGATTGACTCCAATGCTAACACTGGCCAGCAGGGGTCTGGGGCAGCAACTGGTGCCGCAGAGGTCTCTGTGATCGACTCAGAGCAGGCCAACCGACTGGAGAGAATCATAGATAAAACGACGGCCAACAAGGGGTGCCATGTTAAGGTGTCGCGCTCCGGAAGGTTCAAGGAGAAGAAGAAAGTGCGAGCCACGTTGGCAGAGAACCCAGAGATGTTTGCAGAAGTTGGCCCCGCCAGGAATGACAATAAGAAGGCGAGGAAGTGACATGACACGCAACTTCTCCAAAGATTAGCATAGATGCACACACAAAGAGGTGGTAACATAAACTGAAACTATTGTTCTGCTCATCCTCAGGTTCATAATTTGTGTTATTACTCGAGAAGGATTGCCGCTCTTCATTACTCTAATGTTCAGAAGATGCACCACTTTCCTTATAATGCCCTTTGCTGTTGTTGCTCTTTTCAGCCTGAGTGAGCATTAAGCCCAATTCATGCTTCATGCGACACAGACCACAAGAGCTGGGATTGGTCCGCACGGTAGCATCGTATGTCAGGCAGACTAACCGCCATTTTTGAATTGAGTTGAAAGAACAAACACGGACCACATCTGTATTTTCAGAGCAGAAAAGAAAAATCAATCGCTCTTCAACATCCATCAGTTTCAACTCCAACATGATCGGCTTGGTGTCATTGTTCTGCTGTAAACAGAGACGCCAGAGAGTTTTTAAATAAGTGGACCAGAAACAGAAGACACTCAACACCAGCAAGGAAATTATACCCCGACTAGTGTTTTGGCAGTGTGATTGCAGTCTCACACACTCCTACACACAACTATGAATACGTGGCTACATGTCTCCTTTTGGAATCTCCTCAGTAATATTCTCATAAAACCTGTTTCAAGTTACACTAAGAAACAGAGGAGAAGTGTGAATCGTGCCTAGTTCATATCTTCATAGAGCCAAAGTGAGACTGGAACTTCCACTTTGTAAAATCCCATTTGAAACTGCACTAATAAATAAAAATCCAACCTTGGAACAGAGCTCTTCCCACGGTCTTAAATTATTGTTTTCAATATTAGTGTTACCTGCCTTAAAAGAACACAATTTCCCATGAACATCGGAGTGAAGAGGCGAGCCCCGTTTTTTCTGTGTCAATAATTATTGTTGTAATTATGAATTTTAAAATTGACAGCATCTGCTGTAGCGGAGCTGAGCAGTGAACTCAACGCTTAACGCAGCTATGTGTTTGGCAGGTTTAGCTGATGATAGCCAGCGTGAGCATTAACAGAACCAGATTTCTCAGCAGAAACATTGCGGTTTCAGTATGAACGTCTTCCCTTTGCTTCTATCACTTTTTTGCTTCTACTTTCCTACAGTGTCCGGTCTGCACTAAAAAGCAGACCTGCCCAGAGAGCGTAGTAAACACAACGATGGCCGAATGTCTTTACAAGCGACCATCACTCACTCAACAAGTTCAGCGGCAGCAGATCACCTTTTAAGAGGTTCTGTTCAGTTACGGAGGACAGCTCAGATGTGATGTCACGGCCCTTTCACTTCAGGTGAAGGGGAGAAATTAGAGGAACTCCGTCTTCAGACAGGTCCATGCACGTCCACACACTTACTGCCATCAAATGGTAAATGTATACAGAGCTTTTCTACTATTGATGGCCACTCTACGTGCTTTACAGTACAGTTCTGTCATTCACCCTCACATTCGCATAATGCATCTATGTGCAGCACTTTCTCAAATACAGTACCAACACTAGTAATTTGTTGCTCAGTATCTTGCCCAAAGACACTTCAGCATGCAGAATGGGGGGGATTAGTGTTGAACCACCAGACTTCTGGCTAGTGAACGGGCCGCTCTACCCCCTGAGCCACAACAAAGGTTGCAGAATTTGATCCTTCCATGTAAAAACAGCTCATAGTGGCTGTGCTGTATACTGGAGGGTTTCTTTAACTAATGGTCACTCTGTTCTGTCACAACAAGAAGCACCGGATCGTTGTGACTGTACTTTGTTAAGAATGGACTCTGTGACTCGACCTCTGCAGCTCCTGGAAGACTGCAACTGTCTAAATTGATTTTAATGAGGTACATGTATATATTTAGTTATTACATATTAACCAATTGTATTGGTGGACGGCTAATGTCTGGGTAAATGTGCAATAAAGTTCTTTGAAATTAAATTCATGAGTTTGTGATAACATATCAAAGAAGAGTCATGTTGTTGTGTCATTACTAGACCGGCCTCTTCAAACACTCCCTCAGATTACTCATTTGAGCTCCAGACCAAAGTGGTGTTATCTACATTTATTGTTAGAATCATGAATCATTCCTTATTCACTATCATTGATGTGCTTCACTTTTTACCAGCTACGTATGTCACCAACTAGCCATGTCACCATGTCACCCTGTCATGAGGCTTCTAGAGCTATTTATCTTTTCTGTTAAAAAAGTAGTGAAACTGGATTACCACCCAAAGTGAGCAAATTATTAAGCACAACATCAAGTGTCATAATATGCAATATGGAGTAAGTGTACTTTATTTATTACCTGATCTTGATGCACCTGCAGAGGGCCCCTGCCTCAAAACCTAGTTTTTACTTTGATTATTTTAGTTTCGTGTTTATGTTGTGAACGAAATCATGAATCAAATCATCCATCATATTACCACAACAAGCACAAAGTAATGTAGAGCTGAGCATATCCAAAGTGTACATATAGAAGGTGTGTTCTGCCACAGAATCAATAGGTCTGAAGTTACTTTTATGCAGATGTTTATCTTATGATATTATTTGGGATAATAGATAATTAATAACCTCTTTTAATCTGGGTGATGTCAGGAAGCCCTCTCATGATGTAATAAGTGTCACTTCACTGCTCCAGCTGTTGATCTGGTGACGATGACTTTGGATCACATTCATAAAACAATTCACGGGGACACTTCTGCATGTGGAATGTGGGAGTCAGGAATCAAACCGCTAACCTCCTGGTTAGTGTACGATCCGTTCTTCCTCCCTATCTACAGTATCTCCATGTCCTCTACACTTTGCAGTAAATGACCAACACAACGCTGGACTCCAGCTAAATCACAGCAGTCAACGTGCACACAGTGTTGCCCAGCAGAGGGCGACCTTGGCCCATCACTACATCCCCAGCCGGTCAAATAATAATATCTTTAATAATATAGCACATCTCAAAACAGAGTTACAAAGTGCATCACAAGTAAAAAGACACGAGTAACAATCTTTAAAACAGACAAAGAATAAAAACGCTAAAATTTAGGCACGACCACCCAACACGACAACAATACTCGGTCAAATCAGGGAATGCAATACGATAAAAGACACTTTCTGTTTGGATTCTGGCTTAAATGAGGACAAAAATGCAGAAGCTCTGTTTTGTTTCATTTTATGTCAATGTTGAAAACCATTGACTATAATAAATACATTAAAATAATAATAAAAACAATAAAAATACATGTATTCATATGCAAGAGTCAGTTATGAGCTATCAGCAGTGCAGTGATAATAAAACACTGCTACACAATGTTCGTGAACGCATCACTGTAATGATCAATCACCTCATCAATACACACAGAGGTGCTGTGGTCACTCAAAACCACTGGGGGGCGTCCTCACCATGTACAGTCTATGTAAAAAAAAAAACTCCCCACATTCCAGTACCTCAGCATTACAATGATACTGATTAATAAATGATGCCATCTAGTGGTCAGGGACAAACACACACATACCTTATACTTCTACTTCTCAAAACTGTTTTTCTGTCACAGTTCATTCACTAATCGTTGTTTTTAAGATCTCGACCTTTCAATGTAAAGTGCCTTGAGATCATGTAAGTCATGAGTTGGCACTTCACAAATAAAATTGAGTTGAATTTAATGTCCAATCAATTCAGACCCTGCAAGAAGCTGCAGAAGAGTTGAATTATTGCCTTTTCTACAAAGATCTTCAAAAAAGACCTGGTAGTCCCTCACAGGTGGAGATAAATGATATTTCAAGCAGTTTATTGTCTTCAACTCACATCACTGGTGTCTTTATTGTTATATTATATGGGGGGGTGGCGCAGTCCAGGGAGAGCCGACCTGGGAACCGGAGGGTCGCCGGTTGAAGTCCCCCGCTGGAGCAAACTGGTGGCTGGTGAGCTGCCGAGTTGCACCTGAGCAAGGCACCGAACCTCCACACCTCCATGGGCACCATAAAATGCCCTGCTCTCCCTCTGTAATGCATGTGTGTGTTGTGTGATCTGAGGGAGAGCAAGGTAAATTTCAATTGTGTGTAACTTACTGTGCATGACTTCATGACAATCTTAATCTTAATATTCACTCAGTGATCCATCACAGAGCCAGGTGGAGCACACAGTCAACATGGAGACACTGTAAATTGACCATGTGTGACAGTGACTTTTTACACCATATAGCAAAAATTCAAACTACTCCTTTAACAATGACTTCCTCATCCTGGCACTGCACAATTTTTGATAATATAATGTAATGAATGAATGTAATATAATATAACATGTGAATATATAATGAATGAATGATAATATAATGAATGAAAACATAATGAAGGTCTTTGGATTCAGTCATGGTTCATCTACAGTTTGCAATCAACCTAATCCTTTTCTGCATATCTTTGGACTGTGGGAGAAAGTACCCAGAGAAAACCCACTACCAAGCCTGAACATTGAATGTTTAAGAGCAGAGTCACTGGATGAAGCTGAAACATTTGAGAAAATTCTCTCATTAAACCTGGGAGAACTGTAGGAGTGTGTTAAAGACAGGTAGGTCAAAGTATCAGCTGAGAAGACGACTCATTAAGAGCAACAGCAAACTCAAACGGATCCCAACATATTTTATCAGGATTAGAACAAGCAACTGTGGAGTCACCAGCTATTATTTGGCACTTTTCAGGCACCTTCATTGTCTGTATGTCTCTATTTCTCTCAGGTTTTTATTCATTAGTACTGGACATTTAGGATTCAAAGAGAATAGAATTAAATAAGATCTATAATAGTCACGTTTTTGTAGAATTATTCTTCAAACTACATTTCTTTTATTTGAAACAGTCAAGTGTGATTGTTCGATAAACACGTTTCACTACAGCTTGTTTTTAACAGTTTCAATTATCTCCTGTATGTTTTTTTAATTGATTTTTTGAAATGAACCACACACAAAGAAAGGACACGAGGCACAGGGTCCGTTTTCTCATCTTTTAATAACACATTCATATCTATGCTCTGTTTTGTTTACAAGGAGTTTAAAACAGGTGTTGATGAGGACTAAAGGAATCAGGCAGGCAGAAGGTGAAAGTCCATATACAGTGAAGACCGACGGTGCCGCCTGGTGAAGGGAGGGAGACTCGGCACCTCTCACGTTGCACCTGAAGTCCCTGGGACATGCAAGAGTCAAAAACACGGCTGCACGTTGAGGCTCATGGAGATTGTGATTTTCAGTCTTGAGGCAGAGGCCAGATGATCGGATTAAAGGTGTCAGACTCCAGCTATGTGCAGCGTGAGAACAACAGACATGCCTCAGGGGTCCTCCCTCCTTCCACATGCAGCGGCGGCACAGTCAGCAGAAAACAACAGGTCCTTTTGCTTTTTGAAACAACTCATCAGAAGTGAAAATAGATCATCGATCAGTGTAGCAGGTCCTCGCAGGGCGCTCTAACTGTAGAAAAAGAAAACGCTAAATGCACCCAAACATAGTGGATACAATCTGCTGTCATTAAAAAGAGAGAGAAATTAGAAATAAAACATGAAGGATAATTTGAGTTTTTTTTAAGTGTAAGTTTAATGAAATAAAGAAAAGAACATGTAAATTGAATGAAGAAATCTCATTTATGTTGGATTTTTAAGAACATTTTAAACAGATGGTAAGCTTTCGTCTCCCCCTGTCACTTTTTTTTATTCCATTTCGTAATCCTTTCAAGAACAACTAAGAATGAAGAAAGAAAACAAAATCATCTTTGGAAGAAGTAAAAGATTTTTCCTTTAATAGACTATCCACTACAGTATATGGAGATGCCGCTACCCAGTTATTCATTTACCTATACTTCTTTCGAGCAACTGTTTTTTTTTTGTCGTTTTTTTTATTTAATTTTTGTCCTTTTTCAAAAAAAAATTTACCATTTACCTATTTTTTTTCCTAAGAGGTAGATCAACAAAACAATTACATGGTTACAGGTGTCGTGCCCCTTGATTCAGAAGGTGAAATCACAGGGAGGGACGGAGCTGAAAGAGGATTGTGGGTAATTTTAGTAGTCGGAGGCAGGTATAAAAGACTGTGGCGTTAAGTTGTGATACAAAGTGAGGTTACTGACTAGAATCAGCTTTTAACAGCAGATTTGTGAAATAGAAACTGTTAATACCTCGTCATGATTGGCCCACACCTGGACCAATGGGGTCACCTAAATCCTACCCGACACGTGAAGAACGTCCTCGTCCCAGCCGCCCTCTACCCTGCACCACAATGTGTCCATATTGGGGTTTTTGTCTTCTTTTTATTTGTTGTTTTTTTTTTTTTTGTAAAATTCTCAAAGGGAATCAATTAGTTCCAGCTACCCATCTCTTAGCTGGAGACGTAAAATTTCAAATACCGAAAAAATAAATTAAAGAGTGGAAAAAGAAAAAAAAAAAATGGCTGTAACAGAGACTGTCCGTCCATTCTACATCTGTCCGACTGTTTGCTCGTCTCGTTTGTACTAAAGAAAAGAAAAGAAAACAATCTTCTAGCTGAGTTTGCTTATGCTCTGAGGTAGCGTTCCTAGTTATGTGTCAAGAGGTTGTTTTTTTGTCTCATCTCAGTATTGTGTCCCCCTGCCGGGTCAGATCTGTCGAGACTCTGAGCCCGTTTCTGCAGAGGAACGGGGGCGATACGTTTCACGGAGGAGTTTGCGTTGTTTTATGCTCCTCACTAGATTTTGAAAACTGTCCGTCTGTGTTGATTTCTCTCTGTCTGTCGTCTGTCAGGCTGAGCTACATGCTGCAGAGCTTCTAAAGCAAAGCTGCGCTCTGCTGCCGCAAACTAGAAAATCAGCAAGATGGTTCACCCTGAAATTCTTGAATTATCAAGACCCCAGTCTTTCAATTAGGGGACATTAGCCAGTGAGATTTTTGCCCATTCACAGCACTGACTTTACACTGACGCTGATCATGTTCTAAAGCATGCCATAGTATTAAAGATCGTCAACGAAGAATGATACCGACTCCCCTCTTCTAACACAAGCTCTCTACAGGTAGGGTGGAGTTACGCCCACCAGGGGCCCAACAAAGGCCCTTGAAGAGGTCACGGTTGGGCTGTGTTCAATGGGAATTTTTTCAGTCTAGTTGATTTTCATATATAGTGAAATCTATTTAAACAGAAAATCCATCTGAGCTAAACCTGACGGTGGCTGATGTTTGGGCAAATATGTGACATACTGTGATATGTTTTAGAAAATGGTCAGCACTAATATTAAGCAGCACATTTTAATGAATGGGCTAAACAGTCTTGGAATAAAGTTGATTAAAATCATCTAGTTTGATGCTTCTTAGTTTGTGGCAGTCTATTTCTGTGATTTCTTTTATATTTTTACACGGTGTGGCACCTCACACTGCCAAACTGTTCACTAGAACTTAATAATAGATCACTCAACCTGCATTTAGAAGAAGGACAGGATACTTTTAGGCCAAGAAATGATGCAGATGTGATTTCCTCACAGCGGAGAGGAAATGGGAAGAAATCTGAGGAGGATCTGCGATTTCTGTCCCTGTCAGGATGCAGGCTAAGAATAATGTGAGCTTCTCTCAGTGCCACAAGTTGTGTGTGTGTGTGTAGTTTCTTTTACTGTCACAACAACCCTTACATGTTTTCTCTCTTCTGTCTCTACTGTACATACAAAAACAAGATGAGGGAATTTCAGTTCCAAGATGAGATGCCACCATTTGAATGTAGTAACTTTGATTCTGAAACACAATTGAAGTTATCTTAAGACCTTTAGTTCAACTGTTGCAACTTGTTTGTTTTAAATGGCTCTGTACTGCATTTTGGACCGAGCCCCTTCCTGTGTGTTTGGCACAGTTACTGTCGTGTCGTGAACTACATGTTAGCAGTCCTTCGTATTTAGCAACTGCCTTTTGTTAATAGGTTTGTGCATTCAGAAATAAAATAACAAAACATTATAAAATTCCACTATTTTAAATTTCCTTTTCCCCAAAAAAAAAGGAGTCAGAACGATAGTGAGGAGAAAAAAAAGGTGGTTAAAGTAAGAAATCAAAAGGTCTTGAACAGAAGTGAGCGAAACGAACACGGTGGAGACCAGCGCGAGAGAGGGCGAGGGACCCTGACGTTCCCGCCCGCTCCAAAAATGAAATGATTTTTTTCTTCTTTAATAAAAGTAAATAGGATCTCAATATTCTCCCAGAGTACAGAGGAGAGGAGAAGGAGAAACGGGGAAAGAAGGTGGTGGCGTTCAGTTGTTGCGAGAATGGGAGGAAAAGGTGCACCCTTTGACCACCCTGCCACCCCCCTGCCCCTCCCCCTATCCTCACTCTTCCTCCCCCCTCAACTCTCCACCTTCTTCTTTACAGAACTGCCTCAGGTGTTGCAGGAGGTTTTCAGTCATTTTCATAGATTTGACGTAGTCGACATGTTTCATCAATTAGTGCAACAGTACGTCCCCAGATGTCACGTCCAAATAAAGCTTGCTGTATTGTCATAATTTTAAAAAAACAAAACAAATGAAATAAAACACATGAATCCTAACCAATCCAAATGGTTGTGGGCTGAATAAAGAATCCTAACTGTCTTGGTGGTCATGAACAGAGCTCTATGGTTTGGAAAGAAGTGGGAACCTGACACAGGACAAACATGTTGAGCTGTGCAGTTCTCACCTCTGGACAAAAATGGAAGCATAGACACAATAGAATAGACTTGTCCCTGTGTGATGGTGAACTGTCTGGGTAGCCGATGAAGGGTAGCGGTGTATGTTGCCGAGCGTTATCCGTGAGTTATCTGGCAGTGTCCTTCAGTGACTTGGCTAAGCATAAACTTTTCTCTCTCAACGGCTTTTCCCATTATGATTTTTTATGCTTTTTTTCTCCAAAAATACAAAAAAGTATTGTGATTTTAACATTTTTATGTACAGGTTTTCATCTATCACTCAGCTGAGTTACTGTTGTGTTCAAACTCTCTTGCTTTTCTTTTTTGCTCCCATTTTTTCTAAGAGGTTCTTGGATTTCTCTGTCCTTGGTCTGGTGGAACTCAGACGGAGGGGCCATAGGTTCTTGTCCTACTTTTTTCTGCTTTTTTTTTTCTATAAGGTTCACCCAACCACATCCCTTGACAAAAATGAACATTTAAAACCAATGAACACAAACACACTCATGCACCATACACACGTGTAGCCAACAGGGAGCATCTGAGGTGTCGTGGTCAGTGCACAGGTAATAAATATTCACATTCAGAGAAGTCAGAGCTAGTTCAGGTGTGTGTGAGTAGGTGTGTGTGTGTGTAATGCCCTCTCCTGTCTCCATGTGCAGTTACACTGTACATGGATCATCCACTGCTTATCTGACAAGTTCCGAACCTGCCACTGAGAAAGGTAAAGAAAGACGAGGTGAAATCTGTCTCTAAAGCTCACTTTCACGTGTCCTCTTTCAGGGTAACTAACTCATTATTGTTGTTTTAAAGCCTTGTCATAATGTTTGGCGCTTCATGATGATGTCATCACAATAAGGCAGGAGAAGAGGGTCCTTCAGGTTGGGCTGGGAGCCACGAGAAAAGAGACTCGCAGTGACTTAATGCGACCTGAGGATGAGGTTGTCTGAACGTCATTCTGCACGATAAAAATGAGTAACACCCCCCCAAAGATGACAAGAGACCCCAGTGTGCACTTTAGGACCCCCCTCTCAAGTTAATACCACTCCCCATTGGCCAACTTTCTGTTTCAGACAACAGCTGCTCCAGTCACACTTCAGGAAGACAGAGAGCATGTTTTCTCACCTAAAAAAGGCAAAATGGCACTGAACCCATTTCCTCAACAACAGCATTTTGTCTCCCCTCTGCTTTGAAAAAAGAAAAAGAAAACACTGCCTCTTCATCATCCTGAGCTCATTCAACCAGCATCACACCAAAAAAAACCAGAAAAAAATAACCAAAGCAACAAGACAATACCTAAAAAAAAATATTTCTTCCTTAAAAAAATAAAAATTTTCAGGACTTTCAGCTCTTCTTTTCTTTTTTCTTCTTATATAAAACACCAGCAAGCAAAAAAAAAGTTAGGAATACTGAGGTAAATTTACCCTGAGGTAGGTTTTTTTCTTTTTCATTTCTTCTCTAATCTGTTTTAATCTTGGCGAGAGCGTCCAGGCATAGACCCCGCCCCTCATTATCATACGCAGGCAGGGTCCGGAGGCTCCGCCCACAGGCCTTCGGCAGATTGGGAGAGAGAACAAGGAAGCCGCTCCCCTTCGGTCAGATTTTACCTCCTCTGAGCTCAAGGCAAGGAGCTTTGGAAGACTTCGCCTCTTTTTGGGGTTCAGGCACTCGACTAAGGCCAGTCTCACAGTTGCTTTACTACCACAGGCCACACATTAGAGGCCATGTCGGTCAGACACAAAGACGACTTTAATTATGTGGTCGTCTTAAGAACCCCAGCTCTTCTGGGGATGCCATCCTGTCTAAGACTGGCCTTGAGCGTCCAGCGCTAGAGGACGACAATGAGCAGAAAGTCTCAGACACTTCTTGTCTGTCTGTCATTGCAGGACTTTTTCATACAGGTGTGGCAAAACCTCACACTTGACTCCCTGCCTTCAATACATTCACCCGAGGGGCCGGGCTAACTCACATAGCATATATATACAATATATATAAAATATGCCATTTAAGGTGCGGGCCGCTAGCCAGCTAGCATAGCTGCTGGCTGTTTTTAATGGTTTCATATGTGTGAGCTAAGCCACTGCAATAGAACTGCAGGACCAGCTGCGACCTCAGCTCCCCTTACTGTCTCTCGCTGCGCCTTCCGCCACACAGCTAAATGTGGAGGAGGGGGCTCAGTGCCTCCCCAGCCCCAGCCTTGGTGTAGGCTACATGATGCTACATTTCATAGACAAGGGACTGGGGAATAAACTGAGGACCCCTTTTAAAGAAAGGCAAGACGGCCAGACGCAGCATTTCTTTACATTTACTTGAAAGATTATATATTTACAACCTCATATTTTCTTCCTTCTTTTTTATTTTCTAATCTCTCCGCTATTCAGAAAGGTCTTTAAAGAGCAGTGTTAACATCTGCGGCCCCTCTTCCAGACTCTCATTGGCTCAGGGGTAAGGGGTGGGTGGGGCTAGCCCCCGACCTGTGACCTATCCCTCCGAGCCGCTGCAGCAGTTTCCCAGCTCCCTCTCCCGGCTCCGCCTCACTGCATATTATCAATAATAGCTCTGAATAAAACATTTCTATACATATATCTCTATGTTTTTTTTTTTTTTAAAACCACCCTTAAAATATAGGACTGACCGCAGATGGTTGGAGAGGTCTGTAGGGGGCGACAGAGGGGCAAATGGGCCCCTGCTAGTGTGTCCCAGGAGAGCATAGATTGTAGACAGGTGTAAACCACAGCAGCAGGGCTCCACCTGACATGGTGAATAATGTTGCCCATGTAGTTTAAACCTATCTGATCCAGGATCAGTGGAGCTGACTGTAGTCCTACCAAGACACACTAGGAGGACACCACTCGTCCCTCTCTCCATCCCTCCTCTCCTTTATCCATCCATCTTCAATCAGTCTTTTCTGGCCTGGCATCTGGTCTCTGTTGTCAAGTTTCTTTTCAATCTTAATCCTCTTTTTTATTCATTTCATCTTTTGATTTTATGTTTCCCTCCTCTCCAAAACACCTATCTTTCTCTCTGGCTATCGGGCGTACTCCCTCCCTCTTTATATCTCTCCCTGTCTATCGCTGGGTCCGTGTGTCGCTCTCCTATATCCGTCTGTCTGTCTTATCCGTCCGTGCATGTGTCTGTCTGTCTGTCTGTCAGTCAGGCAGGGGTGTCCCACAGTGTTTGAGGAGGATGTGGGGACCCTCACTTCCTGCGCGGCTGGTGGTCCGGAGTCAGCCCCTGTGTAGGACTGCCCATCTCTGTGAAGCCCTGTGGATTAGGGCCGGAGCCCATGCCCCCACCTTTCTGTGGCTGTTTGACCTGGGTCAGGATGTCCCGGATCTTCCTCTGAGCCAACTGGAGGACAGATGAAAGATTATTCATCAAGATTTCAGTGTAAAAATATAACTTATATAGCAGCAAACAACAGAAAGACAAAACTCTATGAATGTGACTTAACATTACACATCTCTCTGTTTTAAAGGTTCAGTGGGTAAGATTCAGGTGAAAGGGATCTTTTGGCAGAAATTGAATATAAAATAATTGTGATGTTTTCATTACTGTTTCATCTAAATTGTACGAATTGTAGTTTTCTGTAGAACAGGCCCTTTATATTTAAATACTTTGTGTTTACATCCAGGGGGTCCTCTCTACGAAGGCCGCCATGTTTTTTACACTAGTCCAAACTGGTCAAACTAAACATCTTTTTAATTATTATGATAAATGACCATGACGATCAACAAGTTCTCGTTCATGTTTGGAAAGGGAGGGTGAGGTGAGGGGTATTCAGCTGCAATATGCGATTTCACCACTAGATGCTACTAAATGAACAGGTTCACCAGATCAAGTCTATCAGATGAGTGTGGGTCTATTTTCCTAGATTTATTAGCAGATTGCACCGAAACCCTGTTTAAACCTAGACCTATGTAAAAAAAATAAGAGGAATATGCTCATTATGAGGATGTTATTATAGTTTGTAATATATATATATGTAAAATGGGGAAACAAGACTAAATACCATTATCGCTCAGCACTGAAGGCAATGAGAGGAACCTCATCAGGTCATGACAGGACTAATAAACACCAACAACAGATTCAAAACCCTACTTCTTACTAAATCTATTCAAAGTCAAAAGAAACACGATCTGCTCCTGGTATCACATGTGAGCTGCTGAATTTACATTTGAAACCCGACAAACCACTACGTCTTCACAGGAAAACCAACGTATCAGTCCTGTGTTCAACCGCAATGAAAGAAGTGACTGTGTTGGCCATGATTGTCACAACTTCTCACGCTTCCCTCCCTGAGAAAACTGTGAGGTTGTAATGTAATGGTAAGTGTGCTTGGTAGATGTACTTGGTATATGTTTGTATATAAGGAAGTGAAGTTTTTACCAAGTTTCACAAAGTCAAGACAACAAGTCAAGCATGTGATGATGTTCACTGATGTATCTAATATTTGTCTGTAGCAAAGCTGGTGAAGCTACAACACAAGGTATGGCAGAAACAGCGGTTGAAGCAATTATTCAAATACGGTACATACTTTTCACAGGATCTGCATGTTTACTGCCCTTTGGCAAATTTACAAACATGTGAGCATAAGTGGATTTTATCACAAACTTTAAAAAGAGGAGCACCTGGCTGGCGTAGAAATGTCCGTTGATCTTTACGAGGACCTGGTCATTTTCGTCTGGCGTCTGTTCCCTGGGGACGACCACCTCGGCTGCTGTCAGGTTCTGCAGCTCATTCACCTGGAGAGACACAGTTTGGTTACTTCAGGAGGTGGAGTGTTGATGATGACGAGGGTCATTTCAAAAGCTGAGAATCGAGGACTTAATGGAAGAGGGTCACTAACCGTCTTTCCCCCTTTTCCGATGACCCTTCCGGCAGCGGCTGCAGCCATCTTGATGTGAGTCTCCAGCTTGACCTCCTCTTTTGGCCCAAAGAAGTTCTCCTCCTTCAGTTTGCCGTAGAGTCTGCCCTGGGCCTGTTCGAGGGAGATGGAGAGATTAAGGCTTCAGACAAACTATTACATTTTGTATGAAAATTGCATTTTTACAAACTAAAACAGTCTCTGTCCACATCAGCGTTCTGGCTGCTTCTCAGTTTTTAATCTTCGTTCATATGGGCACAAATAAAACAAACAATCCGCACGCAGCATGGCTTTGCATTGACTTCAACTTTGGTGAACTTTGACCCAGGCCTGAATTGCTGCCCAGGAGTTTTTAAACTGAAACAGGGCCTGATGTGTTTCCAAACTTCTCAGATTTAGTGGCTCTAAAACCACAGAGTAGTGTGGACGCCAGGCGGATCCATAGAAGAGCTGATGTGTTTTCAAAGGAACACGTAGTTGTGTGGATGTAGCATCAACATTCATTTCCATGAGAAGTGATTAACAGCGATCAGCTGGCTATGTCTGGTTAGTGTTACCTTAAACTGAGCCTCAGGGGGTCCGGTTATGATAACCATCCTCTCTTTGGCTTCTGAAGTTTCAGCTGGAGCAATCTGGGGGAGGGGAGGAGGGTAAATGTGGGGGTTGCATGTTGTCCTGTCATGTTGTACATTTCCTTATAGTCAACAGGCAGCAGGTCTTAAAACCTTGTGGTCCATTACAAACCTTGATGGAGGCCCCAGCGAAGCGGCTCAGCTGTTTGATGTGCTGGCCCTTCTTTCCGATGATGGCCCCCACTGCCTGTGCTGGGATGTATACGTGGACCGTCTCCTGCTCTGGAGACTGAGGAAACGCAAAGAAAGAATTTCATTACACAACCTGATCAGCTTGAGACTCAATTATTAAGAAAATGAAATTGCAGGGCAGCTGGTGGATTTCCTCATTTGAGGTTTAGATTTGGAAATAAAATCTTCATTCATACAAAAATAGACAACTGAGCGTTTGAAGACTGATCAGGTGACAACTGTTGCGAATTTGCAAAGCATATATTCTTACCCCAAAGCAGCTGTAGGGGGCACCAGATCCAGAGTTGCCAGGCGGAGGAGGGGGCATGTTAGAGGAAGAGGGGAAGAGGCCCAGAGCACCCAGGTTGAGTCCAGGGATCAGGTGAGTCTGTTGCTGTGAAGAAGTCAGGTTTACTTTCCGGGCCGTGTATAAAAATGAACAGAAAATAATGTGGAAATAACATAAGATCTAGATGATAATATGAGGAAATAAAAGTTAACGTGGTCATTGACTCAAATGTAAACACAAGAGTAAAAGTCTTCCTTTAAACATCTTTTTGTGTATCATGTGTAACCAACAATTCAATGCAGGAACACAATGTGACACACTCTCAGGTGGTGTAACTGTACGTCCTGCCACTTTTCAAACCATGACTTGGAGCAATGATTTTACACTGGGAAATCTCCAGAGCTTCTTCAGGCAGGTGTTCCCTCTGCATGCTGGGAGATAACACCTTTTCTTTTCAAAACTCTAAACACAATTATGGAATAAAATTTTCCCTTTTACAAGTCGGAAGATTTTAATCCTTCATAGCACAACAATTTGTTTGTTGAGTGCATCCTAAGAAGAAGAATTACACTTTATTTTCCCCGACCGTATTGTCTGCTGTGTGTGTGTGTGTGTGTGTGTGTGTGTGGACTCACATTCATAGCAGCGACGTCATTCTCGTAGGCCTCTCTGACCTTCTTCATGATCTCCCCCTCAGCCAGACAGGAGGCATCAGTGGTGCCTGTAACTGTGATGGTTCTCTCCATGTTGTACAGCGTCAGGTCCTGCAGACTAAACAAACCCCAGGGGGGGGGGGGGTTACTACTGTAAAAAACAGGTGATCACTTTGGTCTGAAGTGAATTCAGCTGCCTAACTGACCAGCTGCTGTCCAACATGTCTTGCACTGGGAGAGGACATATGTGTACACTTTACAAAGTCAAACTCTAATAAAGATGTCACTCTTATTATTTTCATTATAAAAAAACTGACAGAGCTTCAATATAACAGTAATACAACTGTGCCTGCCCCCCCGCTTCTCTTCCCTCTGTTCTATCCAACTCTCCTTTTTTTATTTTTTTCCAGACCATACTTTTGTTCACCTGGACCTTAGACTCAGACAAACATCTGTTTTAAGATAATATAAAAGTGCTGATTGTAGAAAAAGTATTGTAAAATGTGCACATCTTAAATGCCCCCCCCATGTCTGTGTGCGTGTGTGTGTGTGTGTGTGTGTGTAGTAGCGTATGTGTATAGTATGTGGCGTGTGTGTATCTTACGGGGAGATGGTGATCTTGGTGTCTGTGTCCTGCTCGACTTTTTTCAGGTTGCGTCCCTCTTTTCCAATGAGGCGTCCGACAAAATTGTTGTGAGCAAGAATCTTCAGAGGAACCTCATCAGCGCTGCAAACAAATATCAGCATTTCAAAATATATATATATATTGAATACCAAGAAAACAATATTTCACAGGGAGACGATTCTGGTATGTTAGGCCACTACTGCACAAACGTTGTGATTATCATCAAATTAATCATTGAATCAAACTGTTATTTAAATCCATATATGTTTGTGTCTATTGTCATATCTCTCACCCTAAAGGAAGGAGCAAAGGAAAGGAAAACTGTGCCTAATATCATGTTATGCTACTCTGATGAGTCACATTATTTACATATTGATTGTTGAAAACCTACGTCTTGGTGTCTTTGGCCTCCTGGTGCATGATGTCCAGGATCATGCGGCAGGCGGATGAGCAGCCCTCGGGGGTGGAGTGGATGCTGATTGGTTTCTCAGCAGCACCAGCGTTCTCTTTGCGGTGCACGTCAATCCTGCATCGACGGAAAAGATCATGGACAGTTTATTAAATCAGTCGTCTTCACCGGGCATTCAATTAACTTCAATTGTATCAAGGACACAGCTCATGGGAGGTCTGTATGGCAATCAGAACATATGTGGCTGCAGGCTGGAACACTAGTGGTTCCTCATTCATGACAACAACATGACAGTTCAGGCTCGGCACATTTGGCACTGCAGCTCCATGGAGCTTTAAACATCCTGCTTTTGCTGAAGCAACATGTTACACTGGACATCTAACTTTCAACACCGTCGTTAAAACGGCCTTGCATGCTGAATGATCACTGGTTCTGTCATTTGCCTGAACAGCACAGAGCAAAAAGCAGGTTTTACAATCATATAACATTACTTTTAAAATCATTACCAGATTGCAAACAAACCCTAAATACATATTTTTGCATAAGTATAACCTTAACAATTATAGTTATTTTCATGTACATTTCTACTTATACAAATGTTGCTATTTTCTACATTTTGTTATTAACCTTTGTCTTATGCTGCACAATACAAGTGTCATTGCACATCATCAAAGTCTCTACTTTGCTGAGAATGCTTCATTTTTTCTTAAGAATATTCCTTTTCCTGTGAGGAATCAGTGTTGGACACTTCATGAATGACTCTCAGGTCCTCCTCTGAGGTAGACGTGTGTTGAAGTGGACGTTCAGAGTTTTATGTATCCACAAAATCTATTTTTGAAGACATACGACTCCAGTACTGTGGAATCTCTCACACGCGCACATATTAAGACTGCACTCACTTGCTCTGCGTCTGTTTGGTGATGTTGCGAATGGTAGCTCCCTCCTTGCCGATGATGGCTCCGACATACTGTGTGGGCACCAGCAGCCTCAGAGGGATGTCAGCATGTGGTGGTTTATTGGGCATCCCGGAGCTCGGGGACCCCCCACGGGGCCCGCCACGAGACCCATAGCCAGATCGCCGGCCGTTGTCAGGCCCCCGCTGTCCTCCTTCCAGCTCGGAGATCTCATCGGGGATGTAAGAGACATGCAGGGCGTTGTTCTCAAACTGGTATCCATTCAGCTTCTGGATGGCTCTGGGGGGGGCAGCACGTGAGCAGGGGGGTCAAGGTCAGTAGTATCTTTTTGAACAGTTCAAACCATAGTAATGATAACAGTAATGATAATTATTAAACTATCAGTAGCCACAATATCACTGAAAGAAAAAAATATAATAATGCATATATATATATATATATATATATAGTGTATCATTACTTTCTGGTGTTATTTTATTTATGTAAACACCTTATGACTTTGGTCTGAGACAGGTGCTCCATTAAAAAACTACTTAATTTACTATATTATGTTTGTAGTAGTTGTGTTTAATGGAGTGATAGAATCAAACAGAGTGATATAGACATGACATTATCTATTGGCATTTTAAAATACATTGAAACACTATGAATTCAGATCTTTTACTTCTCTTTTTTTTTTTGTGGTATTTTTACTCAAATGTTGGAAAGTTTCTTCCGCCACTGTAACTCCAACTCATTTCATACAGTAGTTCAATCAAATGACCACTAGATGTCACAAGTGGAGCACAGAACATACAAGTTGCTGTTACCGCAGCTTTATTGAGATCCTCACTGGTGACAGTGATGAATGACCCTTCTAGTCTTCTGTGCTTTTATAAACTATCTTGACACAGATGTAATAGGTTCAACATAAAGCTCTCTATTCTGTTTCTAATACATGAAGACAGAGATTGAGTGAATCACACTGAGTGGCAACAGGATGTTAGAGAGGGATGAGGAACTTACTGCCTGGCGTGCTCCCGGGATGCGTATGTGACATTAACCACCGCAGTCTCACTTTCTGTGTTCACTACGAGAAAGAAAGATGAGAGACACACGTTGCTTTTATATAATGGGTGAAAACACAATAAGGGTGCATTTGGCTTCACTGGGTAAATACAGCTTTTTGTAATAGCATTGGTAATTTGCAAGAATTTCGTGACAGTCTTGTTTATTAAATCAAGTCAAATTAAGCTGACCTCCATTTAATGCTGGTGTCATAGTGGCAGAGGTCTGCACAACACACCAGTGCTAATATGTTTCACTCACTTGTTGAGGCATTTCCAAACGGATCCAGCAAGAAAAATTCAAACATTACTTGTGATAATAGAACATTGCAAAACTGATTTAGATGCTTCTACTTGTGTTTCAACAACATTACATGTATGTTAAAGTTAATGAATTGCTAATTCCCAGGGCTTGGCCTTTTCACTAAATATCACCAGTCCGATGATAGTCAGCAAACTCTAGAAAAATGCACAAGATAAGAAAATAACGAGTCAGAAGGTGCATTTATGTCTCTGAGCTGGATTATCTTCAAAGCACTTCCACAGGTAGGCATCAAGGAGGTTTCCTGATCAAATGCATCTCAAGTGGCTGCTTTTTTCCAGCTTATTATGCCACTCGTCCTTCCTGCCTATGAGCTGGGAATTCATCAGGGTTCACTATCAGTTGCAGTCACTTAAATGAAAATGTGTCATAAAGGAGAAAAGGAATGTGGAGAGAGGAAGCTTCCAAAAAACAATATGTTAACTGACAGCAACTTTCATTGGACTCTGTGGTGTGTCAGCTGATCTGTGACGTAATAAAGAGATCTTATCATTGCAAGATAACGGAATAGATCTTGTGGTTTATCATAAAATAAATTAAGAATTCAAAATGAATTGTTAACTAAATGAGTGTGTACTCCAAATTATCGAGTAATCATATGAACAATTTCTTGTCACCATAAAAACTTGATTTCATTCTCTTAGTTCCGGCTGAAATTATTTTTTGTTTATCAACTGCAACAATTTTAATGATCACAGCATTCAAAAGCATTAAACTTTCCCTAGTTCCAGCATCTAAATTGTGACAATTTGCATCTTTCCTTTGTCTTAAGTGATGACAACTCTGAAGCTGGTTGGACAAAATACATTTGATGACATCACTGTGGGCTTCTTAAATGAAAACCTGCAGATTCATTGGTTATGAAAAAGAATAAGTTGCAGCCCAGATCTTTTTTTATTCATCATTACGAGTTCATCCTGGCCATTCAGGAGATGATGTCCAAACATCTGTCCCAAACAGCTGCACAGTCACAGTTGCTCTCAGTCCCATAACATATGAATAAGACAATTAAGTATTCAGCTCAGTTTCCCAGCAAAACTCAAAATTATAGATTAAATCTGGGACATTACAGTTGTTATTAATGTTAATCAATGTCTGTCTATATTTATTTTTTAAACATTGTCATTCTTGTTTGAGAAAATATCTTTAGCCTATCTATACTTGAGTAGCAGTCGTCCTGCATCAATTGTTGTCTTTTTAAACTGCTGAATAATATTTCTTGAAATAATAGTCAAGCTGAAATAGAGAGGCCGTGTCTGTGAGGCCTAATGACACTTTGCATGAGTCTGGGAATGAACATTGCAGTTACCAATCTGCTGCCACCTGGGGGCAGCAGATTGATCTCATGTTATAGTTGTTGAAATAATTTCGACTTGTTGGCTCTTTGTAAGTTAGAGTTGTAAAGATCAGCCGAGCTTGGAGTTCAGTGAAGCGTTACCTTGTTCACAGTTCTCTACAGTTCCACACTGAGCCAACAGACCATCAAGCACCTGGGAGAGGAGAAGGAGGTGAGAGAGAGAAAAGAGACACTGTCAGTTCATGCGGAAAAGGCAAAGACAGAAAATGCAGAATAAACAATGATTAATGAGCCTCCGCAGCAAAGGAAAGCTCAAAAATACACCTGGAAAAAGCTACAGAGCAGAACGAGAAACAAGGAAAGTTCAGTTCATCTTCTATGGACAACACAGAGCAACTGAAGACACACAAATCTTTTTGTCCAACATATGTAAAAGGGAGAAAAGATGAAACAAAGATTACAACAAATGGATAATTATTTTTGTGCAGATATAGATATGAGAAAGAAAACTAAATCTGCAGAAGTAAATCAATTCTGCTACTGGACAATGTACACAAGAGAGATGTTACTAAGACACACAAACAGTGAAGCTGCATGGGATGTGATTGATTTTGTAATTAAACTCCATGTCAGATTTTTGAAACCCTGATAAACAATTTTTTTTAATGGACGTAACCTTAATATTTAATGTCCAAAATGTCCTTTTCTGATCATGTATTGTTAGTGAGGTCAGTCAGATTTTGTACACTGATTCAAGAACATGTGTCAGAAGTTTTTGTACTTAAAAAAAAGATAATATGTTTGATAAGTAAGTATTACAGGCTCAGGTTAGCAGCTTGTGTTCAGATTACAGCTATAAACAGCACAGCTGCTTATGAACAATCTCGATGTGCAGCTGAAGATGTGATTCTAACTCCTAGAGGTTGAAGATTTAGAGGCAGCGATGCACTTAAATGATCCGGTGTGGCATGATGACTGACTGAGGTCAAATGCCAACAAAACAAATACTCGTGTAGATTCAAGCTGTGCTATAAAACTTCTTTATATGACGAAGCCGTCACTGTTTTTAATGGGAATTTCGCCTACTTTTGTTTTTGCCTCTGAAACATTTACACAATGTTTGCAATTTACTGCAGTGATGCAATACTAAAGCTGAAGCTTCTACAAATTACATTTTTGTACACAGTGCCTAAAATGCTTTTATTTTGAAGGGAATAATTGCCTTTCTCCTCGGAGTCAATACTGACTTTATTAACCCTTTTACTTTCAGAGAGTCTGACACTTAACCCTGTTCATTAAGTTAATTTATATGCTAATTGAAACATTTCAGTTGTTTGGGGGGGTGAGATGTCGCCCTCGTGTGGACACAGTTGGCCGGATCAGAGCAGCAGAGTTATTGAGAGGGAGAGCGAGGATCCAGCATGAGTTACAAATGGCTCTCGCTCGACCCCTCTGCACACAGACATTCACACAAGAAATCCATCACCCTGATTCTCCAGCGCTCCCTGCTCCTGCAGTCAGTGGGGGTTTAGTGAGCAACAGGTTAAATGAAGGGAATAGATTCACTTCACTTCTGAGTGAGAGAACATCACAGTGTTTTAAAATGCTTTTTGAGTTTGGTCCTTCAGCTCTGTAGAGGAGCCACTGCTCTAGAATATTCTTACATTGAAGCAATAAGTAGTTACCTGTAGCTGTCACAGTCACACACACTGTCCAGACTACTCAGGATTAATTCATTTTTTTTAATTTCTACATTCAATACAATTACTCTCATGGTAAAAGTTAGAAAAACCAACCTTAATTTAAATCATTTGTTAACGACCACACAATTCCATCAAGTTGACGCAATTCTTATTCAGTACAGTGTGGAAAAGCTCATCTCAACATAAAAGATAACAAAGACATCAACATAGACAGCGGTGACACAATGACACAATATATAGTGCAGAGTATTTAAAGTGCACGTACATGATGGTGAGAGTTCAGAGTCCTTATGGAGGAGGGGAACAAACTGTTTTTGAAATGGAATGATTCGGTGGATAAGGATCTGCAGCGTCTCTTAGAGGGTAACAGTTGGAACAGGTGCCGAGCAGGCTGGGAAGGTCAGGGATGGTTTTTGTGATGCTGCTCTTGTGGTGCAGTGGTTCAACAGATGGGAGGAGGTTGCCAGTGATCTCGATGATTTGTTAACTACGTGGTGTTGTTTTTTACGTGAGTGACTGTTGAGACAAATCTATTATGAACCGAGTGTGTGGTTGTGTACAACTGGATGAGGAGGTTGCGTTTGATTTAGATTATTTAGTTTTTGTATCCTGTCATAAACACAGCCCTGTTTGGCCGCATGATAAGTTTATAGCAGCCAGACAGTAGACAGCAGCCGGCTATCTGAGAGGAGCCGCATTCTCCCTACCTCCCATGGCTGCCAGAGTCATCATTTCTTTACACTCATGTACAATTCAGAGTTTTTGCCCTGACATTGATCCTGCTTCATGCTGCAGGTCACACTGACAGAACCCTGGAGCGCAGACCTGTTGGTCACCTCGAGGACTCATTTGCTTTAACAATCCAAAGAGCGACAGATTGAGGCTGCTCAGCTCTGTTCAAACAGAAAAATACACTTATTTCCAAAGGTGTCTGTGTTTGAAAGTGGCTCAAATCCTCAATGCTTGCGAAAACCCTTTACTTTTCAAACTTGTCATTAACAACACAGATGCAGGAGCATTTTTGATGGTCAATCAGCTTAGAAACACGATGCAGCAGCAGATGGACACATGTTTCAAACGCAATCAAAACTGAGCAATTTTTTGTTGAATGATTTTGTCCGTGCAGGACGACCAGAAGCTGATTTTTTAGACGTGATCATTGGGACCAGACTTTCTCCGGAGTGTGCCATTCACACATGAACAACGCAGGAGGAGATTCTCCTCTCAGATGCGTTCACAACAACACAGAAGTCTCTGCAGCGTTCAGGTGAGGGGAGGAGCAGCAGGCGTATCAATTCTGTGGTGAAGATCACTTGTTTTTGTTTCCAGCACATCGACACCATTATCATTATCCTGAGATTTTGTATTCTCTTAATTTCTGTGTCTTTTTTTACGAGGGGGCTGGCAGGAGAAACTCCAGAAAAGGTCTGGAGTCTCTAACACAGACATTCTCACACACAGCACCAACCGGAGAATGTCAGGAGATTATCCGGAGATCTGTGCATGTCTGAAAGCAGCTAGTGATAATATTATGGGGGATTCACAAATCACCCGTTAAAGAAACTCCTGCAAAAAGAAACCAAGTTAGTTTCCTCGTTGGAAACCGGCGTTCAGAACATTGACAAGTTGTTCGTTACAGAACAACAATTTTCACAACATGTTGTTGTAGGTGGTAGTAATGGGAGGTGGGTGTGAGGAGTTTGAGGTCACAGGAACACACATGTAAATGATCACAGCGAGAGAAAAAAAGAATTAGGAATTTACCTCCCACTGTAGATGAGGTGGAATGTTTCTGATCTGCAGTTTTCTAGTCCTGTGAAAACAAAACACACAGTATGAGCAAGTCTGAACAATTCTGCACATTTTCATGATGTGAAAGAATGAAGAGACACACCAAACATCAGTGTGTGTTAGTGCGTGTGTGTGTGTGTGCCGATGACAGGTGTAACACTGCCCCGGCTGTTATACTGAGGGTGTTGGGGGGATGAGAGAGTGAAAGGAAGAGGAGGCCCCTGAATGAAAGCAGAACGTGTCTGGAGAGACAAGCAGACAAAACAGACAGAAAGAGGAAGACGAGTCTTTTTGAAGTAACTTCCACTGATACCAACAATTAAAGCAAATGGCTGAACGACCAACTCTGACTGCTTCAAAGTGAATGTTTGAACCCAGACAATGAGCTCGTTGTGACCATCCGCACAACCCCTATACACATACAGTGTATAAAATGGTTAATGGAGTAGTCTAGTCGACCACTCAAAGCGCTTTACAGTACAAGTCGTATTCACACACATCTTCATACAGTGTTTCTATATGCTGCGCTTCTCACACTGTCAGTACAGCCATCAGGGCAATTCTGGTTCCGAATCTAGAGGACTGGGAGAGCTGGGGATCCAACCACCGGCCTGCATGATGTGAATGATCCACTCTAACCCCTGAGCCACAGCCACCTTGAGAAACCAAACATTTTCTTTGGAAACAAACCTGCTCACAGATTCAGCATCTGAGAAGCGAGTTGTGTGGAGATATCTCTCGTCTCATCACAGCACATCACCCACGTGGTTCCTCTGATGTCCTTACACCATCTTTATCACTGTCGCTTTGAACCCAGATAGGAATGATGTGTGATATAATGATATATACATGTGACCAGAGAAAAGTGTCTATCCTGTCATCTAATGATTTATTGTTTACTTTGTCTTGCCACAATTCACATTGCTTTTCACAGCTATATTGTTTGTGGACTTGGCACGGATGCAGGCAGGAAATGTGCATGAGAGTGAACATGACACACAACAGGAGAAGGACTGTGCTCGTACCTAAAAGAGCAGCTGCTTCGGTCACATGGAAACAAGTGAAACATCATTTCCTACATGGATGGAGACAGGACAGGATGTCTACATCCTCCATCCCAGTCCAACTGCCACAGTCTGCCTTGATGGGGATTCAGCTCCACTCGTTCTGAGTAAAAACCATTGAATCCACAGCAAGCAGTGGGACAGTGTCCTGCTCAGCCACCCACACACAGGTACATCTTGATGTTGTAGTTTTGCCAGTAAATATATTTGAATCAGTTTTTGAGAGTGAGTGTGTGTGCACACAGATTTGCCCCCATAATCACCCGTGTGTGTGTGTGTGTGTGTGTGTGTATTATCCTTGACTGCTTCATTGTTGCATATACACATCCTCTGAAATAACCCCACCTCCTCTTCAATACATAAGGAACACACAGTGTTGTGCTTTCATCATTGACACAAATAAATGCTGAAGAATCTGAGTGGAAATAATTATTTCTGATATATCTGTCCACAGAAAAAGATGTTCAAACACATTTTATAGCATTCCTTTTAAATGCTTGTTCTCTGTATAGCTGAACAGAAAGTGGTCCATGTATACAGGAAACCCAAACAATTCCACTTCCTCCTCCAAGGAGCATATGTGTTCACCCCTGTCCATTTGTTGGCCTGTATGTTTGTAAGAAAAAGCATACACAAAAACTTCAGGAAGGATTACCACATACTTGGCAGGAGGATGAGTGGGTCAGGAGAGAACAAATGACATTTTTGAGCAGATTTGGATCAGTGGGCTGATGGAGGACATTTTAAGATTGAGATTTTCTCTGATTTCCCAGAGGGTAATTCAGGGATCTTGATTATTTTAGAGGACCGATTTCTATGAGTGTGCTATTTGGTGCAGCTTGATTGTATTTAAGGGGACCTTGGCGGAGGTATGCGCCCTTCTGAGTGTCAATCTCTGTGCTTCTATCCAGACTCAAAGTCCCATGTAAAACACAAACTCTAGAAAATTGTCTTGTGCTTGGAACAGGGTTCACTCTTGAGATTGTGAAGCGGTTTTTGATACCCGACCCTACGTAGAACAAAATTTGTATATGTTGTATTAGTGCTGCATTTTTGACCCCCGGCCTCCTTGTGTTGAAGAGCTGTGGGATATTTGGAGGTGGGCCTCACTGGAAATCACTCTCGAATAACTTAAATGTACCAATGCCACAGTGCTGTGTCCGATATTCACCGCTCCTTATCCACGCCCCACCCATGTGAGAATCAGTGGCCCTGAAACCCCAACAACAACAACCAACCCCCCAACTAGACCTCACCCAAACCCCCCCAGGAGGTTCCAGTACAATAGTCTTTTGTGCATTGAGAATACCTGACCACCCCCCATTCTAAAAAAAATGGAAAAGCCCTTTTGAACCTCAATCAATGCTCAGTTAAATCGCAACCCCCCCCCCCCCCCCAAAACCTGTTATATACACATTAAACAGCCCTGTCCCCTAGAGCTCCACATATATATCTCCCACCATACACAACAAACCCCCAATAATGACCCACAACACAAACACACAACTAACTTATCACCACATCAATCCCTGGTTATCCTCTTTGCGCCATTCCAAATCATCCCCCCCCCCCCCCCCCTTAAAAAAAACACCTTCTTGTTCC